ACCTGCAAAATCCAGAGTAGTCACCCTGGTGCTGTTTAAGGATGAGGCTCTGCATGGATTTTCATGGAATAAATGTGGTATGCGTGGAAAACAGCTATCCCCTTCCCCCCATGAAAGACCTACTGAACTACCTTTCAAAAGGCAAAGTGTTTACTAAACGTGACTTGAGAGAAGCCTAATACAGGGTGCGCATAAAGGAAGGGGATGAATGGAAGACTGCTTTCAACTGCCCATTAGGTAGCTTCCAATTCAAAGTCATGCCCTTTGGTCTCCAAGGAGCCCCTGCTGTATTCATGCAATTGATTAACAAAGTGCTGCATGAACAATACAATACAATACAAGGGGGTTCTAATCTACTTGGATAACATTCTCATATTCAGTGAGACATTAGAAGAACATGTGAAAATAGTTCAACAAGTACTAAATAAACTGTTAGCTGCAAAACTTTATGCGAAGCTGCCCAAATGTGAGTTTCACAAAACTTCTCTGGACTACCTGGGCTACCGAGTGTCAAACGAAGGCATAGAGATGGATCCCGGGCAAGTGCAAGCCTTACTTGACTGGCAGCCCCCTCACACCAGGAAACAGCTGCAAAGTTTCCTAGGATTTGCTAATTTCTACCGGCAATTCATCCCAGCCTCCAAGGAAGTGGCTCTGCCGCTTACCAAACTGCTAAGACAGGACCCTCCCCCGGAAAGCTGCGGCCAACACAGCCGCTAGCCTGGACACTAAGCTGTCAAAAAGAGTTTAAAAGCTTGAAACGGCGATTTGCAGAGGAGCCCATCCTTCAGCACCCAGACCCAGATAGGCAGTTCATTGTCCAGGCTGACACTAGTGACATTGCAATGGCAGTAATGCTTCTCTAGGAAGACCCCCAAGGATGGCTGCTTCCCTGTGCATTTGTGTCAAAACAACTCACGGACACCGAGCGGAGATGAGCAGTATGGGAGAAGGAAGCCTTTGCTATTTGTTGGGCTCTTCTAACGTGGCAGCACTTCCTAGAGGGAGCCAAGATCCCCTTTGAGGTATGGTCAGACCATAAAAACCTCGAAGCCTTAAAGACCCCATGAAGGCTGTCCCCCAAACAGGTCTGCTGGGTGCAGTAATTCAAGCGGTTTGATTTCAAGCTGAAATACATCCCAGGGGGGTAGAACCTGCTTGCAAATGCCCTGTGTTATGGCCCGTACGTGGCCTGTGCGGCTGGTGGCTGATTTGGACAGCGAGGAGGCTGGTGTGGTGCTGCGCCAGCAGCCTGTGCAGCTGGCATTCGAGCCGGACAATGAGGCTGGAGAAGATGTGCCAGAGGCGGGGATTCAGCCAGGAACTTCAGAGGAGGTCTCGAGAGTAAGGCTTGGCGCTAATTGGCCACTCCCGTAGCCTATTTAAGGAGGAATGCCGACTGAAGCAATTTGCAGGGAGCAAATTCGTTCACTCTCCTTCGTGCCTTGATCTTAGTTCTTTGCAAATTGCTTCTGGGCTTTCTGCCAACCATAGTAAGATTAAGATTATTTATTTTTTGGATTCTTGTAGGCTGTTAAGAAAGTTAATTAACAGCCTTTGTTTGGAAAAAAAACTTATTTAATTTAGTAAACTAAGGTTTGTACAGATTTTGTGCGTGCTGCGTTCTTTGGGGTCCGTAGCTGGGGCAGAACACCCTGTCAAGGAAACTCCAATATGACAGCCAGAGGGAGGACGTTGTCCATGCCATCATCCCGGACATGCAGAGTGCGGCGCAAATCACTACCCAGAGTCAGGCCAGCAGGCGGACTGACCCCATCAATGGGAAGCTAACTGCCAACTTAAAGGCAGCACTATCTACTGATCCATGGCTAGCCGACAATCGAGACACTTTGATGACCCGTGATGGACTAGCTTGGAAAGGTTCAAAAATTTACGTCCCCAACAGCATGAGACTCCTGGTGCTCCAGCGTAGCCATGATTCTCCCTCTCTCTCTTTTTTTTTTATTGAAAAAGTTTTTCAAATACAGATTTTCCCCCATGATTCTCGATTGGCTGGTCAATTTGGATTTCTAAAGACCCTTCATCTGATTAGACAGCAGTTTTGGTGGCCAAAGATGAAAGCTGATTTGGAGGACTATGTAAAAAGTTGTGCCACATGTGCCAGCAATAAGACAAGACCGGGGAAGCCTCCTTGTTTGCTTCAACAGGTAGCTGAGCCCAGCCACCCAGGGGAAGAAATAGCTATGGACTTTATAGTAGAGCTCCCGGAAAGTGGCAGAAATACTGTAATATGGACTGTGATAGACTTTTTCTCCAAACAGGCCCATTTTATTCCTTGTTCTGGACTTCCTTTGGCTAAGAGATTAGCCAAGATGTTTGTCAAACAGATCTACCGGCTGCATGGAGTTCCGTGACAGTTGTTCTCCGATCGAGGAGTTGAGTTCACCACTAAGTTCAGGAGGGAGTTCCTGAGGTCCATTGGGTCATCTCAGGGGCTTAGCTCGGCTTTCCATCCGAGTACAAACGGAGCCACGGAACGTGCTAATGCCATGGTGGAACAGTACATCAGCTGTTATGTAGATTACCAGCAAGATAATTGTGCTGACTTGCTTCCTTTCGCAGAAGTGGCTTACAATAATGCGGTGCATAGTAGTATGGGACTGACGCCTTTTCAGATTACGAACGGCATGGAATTTGTCCCTATGCCAGAATTGCTGAGAGAACAGCTTTCTTCCATGACTTTGAATGAATGGATGGAGTCATTAAAGAAAGTCTGGGAGAATACCAAAAAAGTCCTTAATGAAGCGGCCGAAACATACAAAAGGCAAGCAGACAAACACTGATCTCTCCAACCCCCCTTTCGGGTGGGAGATCGCGTGTATCTTTCCACCAAATACTTACGTTTGAGGTTGAAGAGTAAGAAGTTAGGACCTAAATATTTAGGTCCCTTCCCCATAGTGAAAGTGATTAACCCAGTTAAATCTCCCCCGCATACTGGGAAAAATTCATCCTGTTTTGCATTGCAGCCTGTTAAAGCCTGCTGTGGGATCTAAATTGAGACCTCAACCTGCTGCTCCCCCAAAGCCGATTGTGGTGCAAAGTGAGACTCATTATGAGGTGAAGAAGATTTTGGACTCTAGATTGCAGAGAGGACGTTTGCAATATTTGGTTTGTTGGAAGGGGTACCCCTTGTCTGAAGCCACGTGGGTGAAGAGTTGGGATGTTCAGGCAGACACCTTAGTTAGGAAATTTCATGATAAATTCCCTGATAAGCCTAAGAGTCCTCCTGGGGGGGGGGGTTAATGTGCTAATTGTGTTAACCCCTGACTTCAGTCTTGTCCCAGGATGTGTTCCTTTCCTGAGGGGGGGAAGCCTGTCAGTTTTGGAAGACAATTTTCTTTTTGCTTCTAAACTGCCACATATTTTAGCTAGGGAAGTTGGGAGGGGGTTGTTGTTGTTGGAGTGGTAGAAAGTTAGTCATAACAACATTCCGTACTCAAGGACTTTTGCCTGCATCTGATGGAGACTGCCAGAAGATTGTATCCAGTTGAGTGTGAAGAGTTGATTGGACAATGTGATGAACTTGTGGGTGTGGGGTGTGGGGCAGGGCTGTGAACTGTCAGCTGGGTGTGGAAAACCTGGAAGCTTTCAGATTCGAGTTTTCCCAGATGTGCCAACATGACATCTCTAATAAATTGGAAGTTTGAGGAACCTCAGGCCTCAGAGCTTTATTTCGTTGTGGGTGTTCCTTGGAACCCTGACACACAGCCTTGTGCAGCCCCTATGCTAATTATGCAGGTATCTGATGTGATTCTGCTTAGCTTCACCTGCTGCTTCCTGTCTGTTAGGAAGCTTATGATCCACTTACAATGTGTTCAGCTGGCTGGTTTAGCTTAGTTAGAAGAATGTCTGGAATGATGGCGTTGAATGTTGAACTAAAGTCTTCAAGGAGGACCCTTGCATTGGTCTTTGGAGATTCAAGATGTTGTAGGATGTAGTGCAGAGCCATATTAGCAGCATCATCTGTCGATCTGTCGATCAGGGGGTCTGACAGCAGATCCGCGATGGTTTTCAAGTGGGACAGCACTAGCCTTTCAAAGGTTTTCATAACTACAGATGTTAGAGCAAATAGTCTGTAGTCATTCGGTTCCTTGATGGTGGGATTCTTCAACACTGGGATGATAGTAGAGCGTTTGAAGCAAGAAGGAACATAACATATCTTTAGCGATTGATTGAAGATACAGGTGAAGATGGGGGCCAATTGGTCAGCACAGACTTTAAGCAAGGAAGAATTATCTTGTCTGGGCCTGGAGCTTTTCCTGGCTTTTGTCTGTGAAATAGGTCTTGCACTTCCTTTTCTGTGATCACTAGGGGTTGGGAACCCAATGGGATGGGATCAGTTGTAAGAGGTTTGACTGTTGTTGGTGTGTCTGAGATGTGGCGTCTCCTCCTCATAGGACTTCTTCCGATGTCCCAGGTGTATAGATTTCCATGCCTTCCTTTCCTGTTCCGTGGACGGAATTGCCTGCTGTGACTGTCACAGTTAAGGAGGGCACAAGGCATGGGGGGGGGGGTGTCGCTTGGCCTCTGGCTTCTTTTGCAGCCACAATTGGCTGCTAAAGCAGCCGCCCTTGCTGGAGGTGGCAGCCTGAGTGGCACCTGCCAATCAGCTGTGAATGGCAGAGCAGCTCAGCTGATCCGATTAAGGGACCGAGAAGCCCTGAGGTGACGGGGGAAGGGAAGGGCTGCCTCCTGTACTGGCCATGCCCACCCCTTTACTAGGGCTTATTTTCGGGGGAGGGGGTATATTTATGACCACCCCAAAAATCAGGCTTGACCTTATTTTCAGGAGATGTCATATTTTCTGGGAAACACGGTAAGTTACATTGTTTTAAAGTTTTGCAAATATCTTTAATATCTGGCATTTTGATTTCATGGATCCCCAGTGGGGTCTTTGGACCCCCAGTCATCCTAGAATCATGCTTTAAGAATTACTGCCTTACTTAATACTGTGTCTGATATGTGCTGCCTCCCCATAGTACACCTGGGATCGAACTGGCTGTTTCAGACTCATCAGATGAGGGTGAATTCTTCTTAAAGAAGCAAGAGGATTTTGAGCGCCAGTACAACTTTCGTTTTGAGGAACCTGAAGCACAACATGTAAGTGTGGTAGAAGTGGCTAGAAATCTGAATGGGAAGGCCAGATGCTCAGTTCAAAAAATATTGGGTAAAAGTCCCTTTCTCTTTACACTCCCATTCCCTCCATAACAGGTAAAAACATATCCTCGCGTTATTGTATCATCTGTGCGTCGAAAGGATGAGCACCGCAAAGAGAAGCGCCAAGAAATACAGGAGCGCAAGAGAAAAGTGAGTGGCATGGAATCTGGCCTAAATCTTGACCCAATGTACCTCATTAATAAATGTACCTCATTTATCTCTTAATCAACACTCTCTTTCCTAGTTCATGAACTTACTAATTTGTTTAAAAGGAGAGGGAACAGAAGCAGCAGGAACTGAAGCACCTGAAGAACCTGAAGCGTCAGGAGATCCTGGAACGACTAGAGAAGCTACATAAGATCACTGGTAGAGCAGGTAACAGTTTTCAAGAAAGTGATCTGGAAGGAGACTTTGATCCCCACCTGCATGACCAACTCATGGAGGTGAGTAGTTGTTCTTTCCTTTGCTTGGACAGAATAAGACACAGACTGCTCTAGTGTAAATCTGATTCTTACTTTCCAAGTTTAAGAGTCTTGATTGTGTGGAACTGGGGCTGTGGTAGAATAGCAACCAGCTTAAAGTCACCTAGGGCAGGGTGGGAAATATGGCCCCTTTATGACCTGTGGACTTCAACTCCCAGAATTCCTGAGCCAGCTTGGTCCACAGGTTGTAAAAGGGCCACATTTGCCGACCCCTGACCTAGGGAGTTTATGGCACTAGTGAAATTTAATGGTGGAACTGCTCAAAATTCAGTTTTGTTTGTATGACATAACAAGTCCTTGCTTGCCTAAGTATTTGCTTACTGTAAATCTAGATTTGGCTTTGTGTACGGCTGGTTGATTGACCATTTTTGGAGAATATGGCAACTGAATACATGAACTAGAAATGCCTGACAAAAGTAACCTTCCCAAGAACCCAGCAAAATATTTAACTGTTTTTTTATTTTATTTTTAAACATAACAAAAAACATAAAAACAACCATCATTCAATACAATCACAGAAAGTGTATCGATCGGTTAAGATTCTTTTGTGCTTAATCCCAAATCCAAGATTACAGATCATTTAATTTCTCTTATTTGACAATTTTATATATCCCTTTATATTATTATTCTTATTTAGCAATTATTTAACAAAGGTTTATCTCCCATAAGAAAACACTTCATATATTTTGTCATTACCTTAATTTCATATTTCATACTTCATCTCCATGCTTTATTATCTAGCCATTGATAAAACAAATCCCATATCAAATAGTATTGTTTGTCTTCCTGTTCTCTAATTTCAAATGTCAATTTACTCATTTCAGCACATTCCATAATTTTCTTAATAACTTCATCATCAGTAGGTATTTTCTCTTTTTTCCAATTTTTAGCAAATACAATTCTAGCCGCTGTTAAAACATTCACAATTAAATATCTCAATTCTTTATTATACATTTCTGGTAAAATCCCTAATAAAAATATATCTGGTTTAAAGTCAATGTGTTTCTTTGTCATTTTTTCTAACCATGTGTGGATTTTAGTCCAATATCTTTTAGCTTCTGCACATGTCCATCACATATGGTGATGTGAAGAAGAAAGAAGACCAATGAAAAGCAGAAAAACAATTTCAGGCACTTGTACACCTTAATCCAAATAGGTTCAATAAAAAATATTAATCCACATGGCATTCTCTCTCTAGATATATAAAAAAAACAATTACAAATTTAAAAACAAGAAGTTGAAAATCCTCCATCCACTCATAGTCCAATTAAAAATACTTACACGGGGGAGGGTACAGAGAGCTATCATTTAAGAGAAAAAAGTAAAAAATAGGAAAAAAAAAGAGAGGAAAAGATGTCCAACTAAAAATCACTTCGGTATAAGATCCAAGAAATTTCCTTTTTTTTAAGTTCCAAGAATTATTTACAATTCTCTTTCAGAGTCACTGAAAATTCCTTCTCATTCAATCTCAGGCTCCTGCCTCTGATAGTTTCCCAAAGAACACCTGAATAAACAATACTGCCGCAAGTTTAAATGTTCTCTGATGTTCTTCCAACTATCTTATCTATAAAAGGGCACAGGGTCCTTGAGTTGAAACACAATGTAACACAGTTATAACTTCTTGAATCAAAAAGAAAAAAGAAAAGAAACCAAAAATTTCAATCCACTAGAGGGCAGTATTACATACTCTCTTCCCTTCCCCCTGCTATGTTCAATGGACTTTAAAAAGTAAAAATAGCCAAAAATAGCCAAAAAGAAGAGAAAGAAAAACAGAATAAAATCTTAAAGCAATTATAATAAAAAGGCAATAAAAATTTAAAGGTGCAATAACCAAGTCAAAGATCTACAATCCAAACCAATCCAGTCCAGAGTAAAAAGTACTTAAATATCCATGAATGCAAATAGTTTAAAAAAAAAAAAACACCTTAGACACAGGTTTAATTCCGCCGCTTACTTTTCTTCTGTCTTCTATTTGATCTTTCTTTCAATGTCAGGGTGCTCTCTTACATAAATTATGAATAGAAATCTCTCACCGAATCGACACACTTCCTTCCGATCTTCTTCCGTTCCGGAGCTGTCCCAACTTCAGCAGCTACAATGGCTGCCACCCCACCGCTGGAAAAAGGGCTTCTCCTGGATCAACCAGGGATTTTGCGATGTCCCTGGGATCGACAGGATGTGCCCTCCACTATCACAGGCTCAACGGGACTGTGAGGTGCAAAAAGGACCGTCCAGCAACAGGGATATCAGCGGTGATCCTGGAGCCCCAGGATCTTCCATCCATGCCGTAGCAACGTCAGCTTCTCCCCCCCCAATGTTGCAATATGAAAGACTCCAAAAAATTGAGGAAAAGGAGGAGGAAAGAGAGAAAAAAAATCAGAGATACTGACATTAAGACTGGAAGAAGTTGAACGAGATAAGAGTGGATTAATTGGATGGGAGATGGATAGATCAGAATTTTATCTCAGATTTCAAAATATAGAAGAAGAAAAAGAAGAAAACTTAGCAGAAGTAATGATAGGAATTCTAGCAGAAGCATTAGAAATTACTAAAGAAAAGATGATGGATGGCATAGATGAGATATTTCGAGCTTATACAAGATATGCAATGCACAATAAATTACCACGAGAAGTTCATATAAGGTTTGCCAAGAAATCGATTAAGACACAAATACTGCAGATTGCTAGAGAAAAAACATTGAAGTATAAGGGGAAAGAAATTGTGGTCCTGATTCAAATACTGAGAAGAGTGAGGGAGATGAGGAGAGAATATCAATTCTTGACTAAAATACTACTTCAATTATAGATGGCTGATACAAGAAGGATTAGTCCTAACAGCAAAGATATAGAATAGATACAATGGATAAAGCTAAAGCATTTTATGCAGAATTCCTCAGAGGGAAAGAAATGGAACCAAAAAAGGCGGTCCCACTAATAGAACTCCAAGAGGAGAAGTTAGCAATGATTGAAAAAGCGGACGGAGCAGTAGGGTGTATTGTGGAATGCAAAGAACAACGTGAACTGAGATCTACTAGAACAATAAACCCTAATTATAAAATATGAATATGGAAGAGAAAAAATTGATCTCAATTAATATAAATGGACTTAATTTAGCTATCAAAAGAAGAAAGGTATTTCACAAGTTAGAGAAATTAAAGTTTGATATAATCTGTCTGCAAGAAGTACACATTAAAAAGCAACATGAACAGTTACTGGTGCAGCCAAAACTAGGGAAAATCTTTACTTCATTGCCACAATGTAAGAAAAGGGGAGTTGTCTTATATATTAGAAATACAATTCAAGCGGAGCAAATATACACAGATGATGATGGAAGAATTTTGATGGTAGAAATAATAGATAATAATATGAAAATACTTTTAATAACAATATATGCTTCAAACAATAATCAAGACAACTTCTACAGAAAGCTACAAATGAAAATAATTGAATTGGACTATGATAATATCTGCATGATGGGAGATTTTAATGGTATAGTGGATGAGAAATTAGATTATAAAACGCACAAGGTAATAAAGCACAGTAGAAAGACCCTTCTGAAATCCTTTTTTAAGATGACAGAGGAAATAAATGTATAAGATGCATGGAGAGAAAGAAATGGAAAAAATAGACAATATATTTTTTATTCTGACAGACACTCATCTAGGTCTAGATTAGATATGATATGGACAACAATGGAATTGACCTCAAATATAGAAGAAATTGAAATAGAAACAAATACCTGGGCAGATCATAACCAGGTGACAGTTAAATGGAAAGGACAAAGGAGAAGATCTAGATGGACTTTAAATAATACAGTTTTAAAAGAAAAGGACTTTGTGCAGAAAATGGCTTTCTTTTTAAAAGAGAATAGAAAAGAGGACACATTGATGCAAAATCTTTGGGATACAATGAAAGCTTATGCTAGAGGTCTGATAATGGACTATACAAGGAAAAGAAATATTAAGAAAAGACAAGCCCATAAAATATTAGAAGATGACTATAAGAGATTTGAAAAGGAACTCCAGAAATTTCCACAAAAGAAGGATATTAAAATAAAAATGAATACAAAAAAACATAAAATGGGGTTAATGGAGAAAACTTTGGCACAAAAAATAAGAAGTGCTAAACAGAATTATTTTGAAGATGCCAACAAACCAGGTAGATGGCTAGCATATAAATTGAAAAAAGAGAGAGAAGCAAGAAAAATAATACAGCTAATGGATGATCAAGGACAAAGTAAATATGGGAATAAAGAGAAGAAAAAAATTATCCAAGATTACTATAGAGAATTGTATGAACAAGAAAACATAAGAGGAGGAAAATGTTAACGATATCTCCAAAAAGCGACCTACCCCAGATTCCTAAGGATATTGAAGAGATGTTAGAGAGAAATATAACCATGATGGAACTAACTGAAGCAATTAAAAAACAAAAGAATGGGAAGGCACCAGGTCTGGATGGACTGCCTGCGGAATACTATAACTATAATACTATTACAGGAATCCCTGTGTCTCCCACTGTTAGAAGTCATGAAGTCAGGAAACGGCATTGGTCGCGTTGGTTGATGATCTCTGGAGGGCTCGGGACAGGGGTTGCTCCTCTGTCCTGGTCCTATTAGACCTCTCAGCGGCTTTTGATACCATCGACCATGGTATCATGCTGCACCGGTTGGAAGAGAGAGGGGTGGGGGGCACTATGTTGCCGTGGTTCTCCTCCTTTCTCTCCAACCGGTGGCAGTCTGTGTTGGCAGGGGAGCAGAGGTCGACCCCGAGGCCCCTCATATGTGGGGTGCCACAAGGGTCAGTCCTCTCGCCCCTCTTGTTCAACATTTATGTAAAACCGCTGGGTGAGATCAAATGTGGTTTCGGGGTGAAGTAACACCAGTACGCTGATGACACCCAGCTGTACATCTCCACCCCGGACCACCCCAACGATGCCCTTGAAGTGATGTCCCGGTGTCTG